TGCCAGGCGTAGGTGCCATGGCGTCAGCCGTAGCTTCACAGCCCAACCTCAAATTTCTGGGCCCTCAAGCCGATCCTTTCCCTACCTTCAGCCTCCTGAGTAGCTGGCGACTACAGGCATGTGCCACCGATGCCCGGGCTATCTTTTCTATATATTTTTTAACTGGCCAAGGAATTTCTTGCTTTCTTCTTTCTTTCTTTCTTCTTTCTTTCTTTCTTGTCTTTCTTTCTTGTCTTTCTTTCTTTCTTTCTTTTTTCTTTCTTTCTTTCTTCCTCCTTCCTTCCTTCCTTCCTCCTTCCTTCCTTCCTTCCTTCCTTCTTCCTTTCTGCCTTCCTTCTTTCTTCTTTCTTTTCTTTCTTTCTTTCTTTCTTTCGAGACAGAGTCTTGGGCTTGGGTACGGACTGGCAGATCGCTCAGTCCCTGAGTTCACAAAACCATGCACTGAGCCGGACCCCGTTCTACTAAAAAATAGGAAAGAAATGAATGGCCAATAAAGAATATATAGAAAAACATTACCGGGCGCATGGTGGCACATGCCTTGTAGTCCCAGCTACTTGCGAAGGCTGAGGCAGGAGGATTGCTGGAGCCCAGGAGGTTTGGAGGTTGCTGCTGAGCTAGGCTGACCCACACACTTTAGCCCGGGCCAACACAGTGAGACTGTCTCAAAAAAAAAAAAAAAAAAAAGACGAGGTATCTCTCTTGCTCAAGCTGGTTTCGAACTCCTGACCTTGAGCCATCCACCCGCCTTGGCCTCCCAGAGTGCTAGGTTTACAGGCGTGAGCCACTGCACCTGGCCTTCCATTGTCTTTTTACACCCTTCTCAGAGCTGTCATGGTGACCTGTGTGGAGCTTAGGGAGGTAAAGTCTCTAGTACCCTTAGGTGGGTGCATCAGGTGGCAGTGGCTGCCTGAAAATGCTATGGGGGAACTGGCAATGTTGCCAGACTTAGCAAATAAAAATTCACTGCACATGGTTAAATTTAAATTCCAAATAAGGAACTAATTTTTTATAGTATAGGTATGTCTGTCCCATGCAATATCTGGGACATACTTATACTAAAAAATTAATCCATATCTGAAATTCAAATGTAACTGAGTGTCCTCTATTTTATCTGGCAACCCTAACAAAAGAGAGTTAGAGTCTCTTTAGAATAGAGTGCTTAGAATAGATGTTCTTGCTGCCACCTGAGAGAAATCCTCATTTGGGTTTGGGAACTCTAGGAGAGGCAGGGCAAGAGCCACTGGAAGAAAAATGGGCCAAAGTTGGAGAAGGATCTACAACAAGGCCTGGAAAGGACGATGACCTCCAGGTCCACCTTTTGATCTCAGGCAGGCAGCGAACACCCTGTGGAAGCCCAGACGGGGACGGGCTCAGCTGGAGCTTCTCAACCTCCAACTTACTTGCTGCTCCCTCCAGCTCAGCTGGTCTGTCTGCCCCCAGGCCAGGAGTCCATGCCCCAAGCCACCAAGTCACCCATCACCAAGCCAGAGGGACAGCAAGGAAGACGCTAGACCAAGGTGGTAAATCAGGAGCAAACCTAGCTCAGTGTTAATTATCGTCCAAGGAGCCAGACTGACTCCTTGCAGAAAGCCTGGAGCAGGAAACACCCTAGAGGTGGTTTAACCTGCTGTGGCCAGACTGGCCACATTCACATCCCTGGGTGAGACATGTGACCACTCCATTCCTATAGCCTCTGGGAGGACATTCATCCAACAAACATCTCTTACCCTCCTTTGTCTATCCCATAGGCAACCCCTAACTCACTCCTCATCTCCCTCCCCATCCTCTCCCAGAGATCGCCTGTCTGCCTCTCCCCCACCCCTCTACCTCCCTCCGCAGCCCTGGGGACCATCTCTGATGTATCTCGGGGTCCATCCCCAGCTTGCCCCAAACTCCTTTGACTCCCTGGAACTGCTACAGCTTCCGCCCTACTCCCCACCTATCCCAGCTCTATTTCCAACAAAAGCAGGTCTCATCTTGCCGTTCCTCTGCTGGAAATCCTCCTGTTTTGCATCAGAGGCCAAGTGCCAGCAGGACAGAAAAGCAGGACAAACCAGGGTGCCTGAATAACACGCCTCTTCCAGTTGCCCAGGAGAAACTGTTACTCATCCCAGGTGAGGGGGTGGGAGAGACAACCTGGGAGGGCCGAGGGCCCAGGCTGCCCAGCCGGCTCCTGTCTGCAGGCCCAGGGAGCAGGGAGTGCAGGGGCTCAGCCCGGGGTAGGGGCCAGAGCCCACTCCAGTTACAAAGTGAGTGCTGGATTTCTACCTTAGATGCTCAGTCTCATTCATGACATGAAAAATGTAAATTAAAACTATAAGAGAACATGATCCCCCCCCTATCAAATTGGCAAAACAAACAAAACAAAGTAGCTTAAATGGGTGAAGGTGTCCGAAACAGGCATTGCCACACATTGGTGGTGTGAAGGTTAATTGGTACAGCCCCTTTGGAGGGCAAATTGGCAATATCTATCAAAAATGAAATACACAAACTCTGTCCCAGACATCTCACTTTTCAGGTACTAAAGGATATGCACCAGGATATTCATTGCAACATTGTTTTTGTAGTTAAAGTTTGGAACTAAATGGGAGCTGGTTCAACAAATTCTTTTTTTTTTGAGACAGAGTCTTGCTTTGTTGCCCAGGCTAGAGTGAGTGCCATGGCGTCAGCCTAGCTCACAGCAACCTCAAACTCCTGGGCTCAAGCAATCCTGCTGCCTCAGCCTTCTGAGTAGCTGGGACTACAGGCACGCGCCACCATGCCCTGCTAATTTTTCGATATATATTAGTTGGCCAATTAATTTCTTTGTATTTATAGTAGAGATGGGGTCTCGCTCTTGCTCAGGCTGGTTTCGAACTCCTGACCTCGAGCAATCTGCCTGCCTTGGCCTCCTAGAGTGCTAGGATTACAGGCGTGAGCCACCGCGCCTGGCCTGGTTCAACAAATTCTGCTATAACCATACAATTAAATATTATGTACTATTAAAAAGAATGAGGCAGCTGGGTACTAAAATTAAGTAATCTTAAGATACATTATTGTATACTAAAGCAAAGTGCAAAACAGCGAGTACAACATATGAAATTGGTAATTTAAAAATGCATAAATGTGTGGTATGTATAAAATACCTCTAGAAAGATGAATAAGAGTTAACAACAGTGGGTGCCCTAGGGTGGGGTACTGGAATAGCAGTGGAAGCGAGACTTACTTTTTGGTACCTTTTGAATTTTGTTCATGTATTTCATATATATAAAATATATATTTCTGCTCGAGGTCAGGAGTTCAAAACCAGCCTGAGCAAGAGTGAGACCCCATCTCTACTATAAATACAAAGAGATTAATTGGCCACCTAATATATATAGAAAAAACCAGCTGGGCATGGTGGCACATGCCTGTAGTCCCAGCTACTCGGGAGGCTGAGGCAGGAGGATTGCTTGAGCCCAGGAGTTTGAGGTTGCTGTGAGCTAAGCTGACGCCATGGCACTCACTGTAGCCTGGGCAACGAAGTGAGACTCTGTCTCAAAAATATAAATAAATAAATAAAATAAAAATATATTTCATATTATGCATATAAGGTTTATGCATATGTAAATAATTTTTAAAGCAAGCAACTTTTCTACCACAGTGCTTTGTGAGAGAAGGTGATGAGCATATTAAATAGCTACCTGGGCTGGGCGCGGTGGCTCACGCATCCTAGCACTCTGGGAGGCTGAGGCAGGCGGATTGCTTGAGGTCAGGAGTTGAAAACCAGCCTGAGCAAGAGCGGGACCCCGTCTCTACTATAAATAGAAAGAAATTAATTGGCCAACTAATATATAGAGAAAGAATTAGCTGGGCATGGTGGCACATGCCTGTACTCAGGAGTCCCAGCTACTGGGGAGGCTGAGGCAGCAGGATGGCTTGAGCCCAGGAGTTTGAGGTTGCTGTGAGCTAGCCTGACCCCACGGCACTCTAGTCCAGGCAACAGAGTGAGACTCTGTCTCAAAAAAAAAAAAAAAAAAAAATAGCTACCTGGCTTTAGGCAAGCCCTGCTTCTCCCCAAACCTCAGTTTTCCATCTATACAATGGGAGTTTTGAATCAGAAGACTATTCCTGTGCTCTACCTAAATCTCACAGCTAACCAACCAAATGAATACTGGTGCAGTGGCCATAGATAACATTTGAGAGCATGCAATCGGATATAATTTGGACAATATAAAACAGCATTGATGAAATCAGGATGCAGTGTTTATTCACCTGAGGGACAGTGTTCCTTATTTGACCCCCAAGCAGGGGGTGCAAAGGTGCAAGGATGCAAAGGGTGCAAAGGATGTGCAAAGGTGCATCTGTCTAGACTGGAGGAGCCTGCCAGGGCCCCCGCCAGCACCTGCAGATGTCAGCTCCCCAGGCCTTGGCAGCTCCTCCCTGCCTTTGCCCACCCACTGGGGGCCTTAGCTGGCCCAGGGAAGGAGCTGAAGCCCAACCTCCCTCTGGCTTCCTCCTTGTGCTATTAGGCTCTGTCTTGCTCTCCTGTCTGCCGGGACTCTCCTCCCCGCCTCCCTGTGACAACTCAGAGGAGGCGGCTCTGGCACAAGGAGGCAGCTCTGGCTGGGCGCAGTGGCTCACACCTGTACACCTAGCATTGTGGGAGGCTAAGGCAGGAGGACTGCTTTAGCCCAGGAGTTTGAGACCAGCCTGAGTACCATAGTGAGACCCTGTCTCTTCAAAAATTAGACACAGGGTCTCTAACAGAAAAATTAGCCGGGCATGGCAGCATGCGCCTTAGTCCCAGGTACTCAGGAGGCTGAGACAGGAGGATGCTTGAGCCCAGGAATTTGAGGTTGCAGTGAGCTGTGACAATTCCACTGCACTCTAACCCAATCAATAGAACAAGATCCTGTCTCAAAAAAAAAAGGAGGCAGCTCTCACACCATGCTAGAGCTTGGGTTCTACCCAGCTCTCTCCCTGAACCAGGTCTCCTTTAACAGAGGATGTCTGTACTGGAGGCTTGGGGGAGACCCAAGACGCAGGCGGCAGCAATCCCACCCAGCCTGCCGAGCTCATCAGAAACCTATCCTCAGCAGGAAGGCACCTCTCTCCAAAGGCTCCTGCCGTAGTCAGTACTGAGCTTTTCTCTTAGTATTTGGAACCAAAGGAAAAATCCATGGGAATCGGAGAAGTCAAAGCTGGACACATTTCCTGTTCCTCATCTCCTCTTTTTTGCTCTCTGGGTTTTGGAATCAGAGGACTTGAGTTCCTGTCCTAGATTAGCCCTGACTTCCTGAGGATGTCATTTCTCTTCCAGGGGCTTCATGTGTAAGAAGAGGGGCTCAGACTCAAAAAGCTGCATATTAACGGGCACCCCAGGTGGTTCTGAAGCAGGTGGCTGGTGCACAGGCTTTCAGAAGCAGCGCCCTGGCACACGTGCAGAAAGAGGATTTTGTCTTACACTCTCCCTGAGAATTCCACTCGGAAGCCAAGGGTCCAAATGGAGCAAGCTGGAGGCTGGAACTTCTAGGAATGAGGCAGATGCTCCTCTGGGTGGGCCTTGACTCAGAAAGCCGCTGCCATCATTGAGCCTCTACCTGAAGCCTGAGAAGGCAGCCAGTGAAAGGAGGAGGGCAGAGCCAAGCACAGAGGGCTGGAGACCTGCCAAGCCCCGGGGACAACACCTGAGCCTCCATCAAACTAGGCAAACCAGCCCTGCTCTTGGGGCTAGAGAACCCAACACATCCCCTGCTTGTTTTAGGCAATAGGGTTAATGTTGGATGATTCTGTTTGTTTGCAACCAGAGAATCCTAATGGATACACAGTGCTGTTTACATTTTTGAGAACAAGGAGATAATAGATATTAATACAGTAGGGGCCAGGTGCGGAGGCTCACGCCTATAATCCTAGCACTCTGGGAGCCTAAGGCGGGAGGATCACTGAGGTCAGGAGTTTGAGACCAGCCTGAGAAAGAGTGAGATCCCATCTCTACTAAAAATATAAAAAATTACTGGACATGAATGGTGGCACATACCTGTAGTCTCAGCTACTCGGGGGACTGAGGCAGTAGGATTGCTTGAGTCCAGGAGTTTGAGGTTGCTGTGAGCTAGGCTGACGCCACGGCACTCACTCTAGCCCAAGCAACAGAGTGAGACTCTGTCTCAAAACAAAAACAAAAACAAAAAACAACTTGTTTAATAAAGTACTTAACCTCTATTTCTTCATCTGTAAAATAGGTGTGATAATATCTACTTCTAACAATTGTTGTCAGGATTAAATCGGACAGCCCAAGTAATAAATAGTGCTCGAGAAATATTTGCTGTGATAAATAAACCTTTAGCCCACACCATATACCAAAATATACTCAAAACAAGTCCTAGGCCTAAATATAATAGCTAAAACTATAAAACATTTAAAGTAAAACTTATAGGAAAATAATAATGACCTTGAGTTTGGTAAAGAATTCTTAAATATGACACAAAAAGTATAAACTAGTTTTAAAAATGGATAAATTGGACTTCATCAAAATAAAAACTTTTGCTCTTCAAAAGACACTGCTACAAAAATGAAAAGGGGAGCTACAGAATGGGAGGAGGTATTTGCAAAACCTATATCTGACAAAGGACTCATAACTGGAATATATGAAAAATTTTCCAAACTCAATAAGAAGACAAGCAACAATTTTTTTTAAATGGGCAAAGTAATTGAGTAGATACTTCATCAAAGAAAATATATGGATAGCAAATAAACACTTGAGGTGTGAACAACTGGAACTTTCATACACTGCTAGAGAGAATATAAAATAACACTTTGAAAAACAGTCTTTCTTAAAAAGTTAAATACCCATCATACAACCCAGCCATTCTTTCCTAAGTACTTACCCAAGAGAAAGGAAAGCAATTTCCATACAAAGACTTTATACAAATGTTCATAGGAGCTTTATTGGTAATAACCCCAGACTAGAAACAATCCAAATATCTAGAAAACAACAGATAATTGCATTAAAAAATTATGGTATAGGCCAGGTGCAATGACTCATGCCTGTAATCCCAGCACTTTGGGAGGCTGAAGCAAGAGGACCACTTGAGAACAGGAGTTTGAGACTAGACTGGGCAAAATAGTCAGACCCCATTTCTACAAAAAAAGTATTTATTTTATTTCATTTTATTTTATTTACTTATTGAGACAGAGTCTCACTTTGTTGCCCAGACTAGATTGAGTGCCGTGGCATCAGCCTCGCTCACAGCAACCTCAAACTCCTGGGCTCAAGGGATCCTCCTGCCTCAGCCTCCCAAGTAGCTGGGACTACAGGCATGCGCCACCATGCCCAGCTAATTTTTTCTATATATATTAGTTGGCCAATTAAGTTCTTTCTATTTATAGTAGAGACGGGGTCTCGCTCTTGCTCAGGCTGGTTTCGAACTCCTGACCTTGAGCAATCTGCCCACCTCGGTCTCCCAGAGTGCTAGGATTACAGGCGTGAGCCACCACGCCCGGCCCTGGCTACATTTTTGAAAATATATTTTTAGTTGGTCAATTCATTTCTTTCTATTGGCCGGGCGCAGTGGCTTACACCTGTAATCCTAGCACTCTGGGAGGCTGAGGTGGGCAGATTGCTCGAGGTCAGGAGTTGAAAACCAGCCTGAGCAAGAGCAAGACCCTGTCTCTACTATAAATAGAAGGAAATTAATTGGCCAACTAATATGTATAGAAAAAAAATTAGCCAGGCATGGTGGCGCATGCCTGTAGTCCTAGCTATGTGGGCGGCTGAGGCAGCAGGATTGCTTGAGCCCAGGAGTTTGAGGTTGCTGTGAGCTAGGCTGACACCACAGCACTCACTCTAGCCTGGGCAACAAAGTGAGACTCTGTCTCAAAAAAAAAAAAAAAAAAAGGACGAGTCTTAATTGTGCTGAGTAAAAGAAAATCAAAAAGAGTACATATTATTTGGCTTCATTTATAAAAAATTCTAGAAAGTGACAGAAAAGGGATCAGAAAGGGGATGGGTAAAAGGAAAAAGGAATAGATTACAAAAGGGCATAAAGAAATTTTGGGGTGTGATGGATATGTTGATTATCTTAATTGGGGTGACGCTTTCATGGGTATTTACATATGTCAAAACTCATAAAATCATATACTTTAAATATGGGCTGGGCACAGTGGCTCATGCTTATCATCTTAGCACTCTGGGAGGCCAAAGCAGGAGGATTGTTTGAGTTTAGGAGTTCCAGACCAGCCTGAGCAAGAGTGAGACCCTCATGGCTACTAAAAATAGAAAAAATTAGCCAGGTGTGGTGGCGCACACCTCTAGAACCAGCTACTCCTTCCCTTGCTCTTCAAAAGACACTGCTACAAGAATAAAGGGAGCTCGAATGGGCAGGCGAGTATCTTGCCAATATATCTGACCAAAATCATAACTGAATATTGCAAAATTCCAAGACTCAATAAACAAGCAACACTTTTTTCTAATGGGCCACAGGTAAATTGAGAATCACTTCATCTAAGAAAATATATCGAACCCGCATACACCTTGAGTTGCACAACTGAACTTTCTCACGTGCTAGAGAACAATAAAATAGACCACACTTTGCGAAAACAGTCTTCTTAAAAAGTTAAATACCATGCATACACCAGCCATCTTCTACAACGTACTCCAGAAACGAAAGCAATTCCATAACCAACAACTTTAATCAAATTTCATAGGAGCCATTTTTGTAATAACTCCACTAGAACAACAATTA